CACCACCTACGTGGTACAGTATGCCTTGGCGAATCTGACTGGCCAGGTGGTCGACCTCCCCCGAGAGCAGTGCCAGGATCCAAGTAAAGTCCCCAGTGAAAACAAGGATGTGAGTGGGAGTGGGAGTGGGTGTCGAAGGTGCCCCGAGGGCCCCGTACCCCCGGGGGAAGTTGGACAGCATCCTAGACCCAGTTGGACCCAAGGAGTTGGGATGCAAAGGCAGAGGGACGCGGCCCCTTGAACTTGAGTGTTGGAGGGCAGGAGCCTGGGCAGAAGCACAGCGTGGCCGGGGTGAGAGAGGATCACCTCAGCCCCGCCCTGTGGCCGGTCTTCCGTTGCAGCTGTATGAGTACGCGTGGGTTCAGGGCCCTCTGAACTCCAACGAGACGGACCGGCTGCCCCGCTGTGTGCGTTCCACGGCGCGACTGGCCAGGGCCCTGTCCCCTGCCTTTGAACTGAGGCAGTGGGGCTCTACTGAATACTCCACATGGACTGAGAGCCGCTGGAAAGACATCCGGGCCCGCATATTTCTGGTAGCCAGCAGAGAGCTGGAGGTGAGCCGGGAGGGGCATGCCAGAGACCGCCCTGCCCTCTTTGTGTTGCCTCTTAACCTCTTACCTGCTTCCGTCTCCCATTTGCCACAAAAACCTACTGCTGCTCTGTCCCCTGTCCACCGCACGCCCCATCGCGAAGTCTGTCTTCACCGACAGAGTGAGTGTGTGTTCACGCCGGAGGTGGGCTCCCGCCAGGAGGAGGGCCCCCCGGAGGAGCTCCTCACCCTGCAGCGTCCCCACAGCTCCCTCCCAGCTGGGATTTCCAGCTGCTGGCACTAGGGTGTGCACAGGCGCCACGGTTTATTGAGTCCCCATCACCGGTATGTCATAGTTGCCACCGGAGAGTTGCCACCAAAGTCATGGATCTTAACTTCAAGATGCTGAAAATCTAGGGGCTCCGGGGTGGCTCAGTAGGTTAACGTCTGACTCTTGGTCTCAGCTCAGGTCACGATCCCACGATCCTGTGAATTCGAGCCCCGTCTTGGGCTCTGTGCTGACAGCATGGAGCCTGCTTGGGATATTCTCTCTCTCTCTCTCTCTCTCTCTCTCTCTCTCAAGTAAATTTTTTTAAAAAAAGATACTTAAAATCTTAGTAATACAAAGTAGAGGAAGAACAGGGATACTCCTCTTTTCGAACGGAGCCACTCCGTCTTCCAGTCGGGAAGACGTTGTCTGTGATTGCTCAGCACTCAGTGCCTGGAGCCAGCTCTGGGATCCCGAGGTCCCGGCTCCCAGCCCCAAGCGGTGATCCAGAACCACGCTGGGCTCTGACGGCGTCTCTCTCCCTCCCTGCCCACGCCTCCCGCAGTTCATCACCCTGATGGTGGGCTTCGGCATCCTCATCTTCTCTCTCGTCGTCACCTACTGCATCAACGCCAAGGCCGACGTCCTTTTCATCACCCCTCGGGAGCCAGGAGCCGTGTCTTACTGAGAGGAGCCCAACTCCCGCCCGCTCTACCGTTCACATCCTAGGCCACTTGTCCCACGGGGACATAAGCCACTAGCGTGTCACTGGAACCTCTCTGGGCCTGCTTAGACTGGAATTAACATGAACAAGTAGAACTGCCCCGAAGAGAGAGAAACAAGTTCCCTCTCCTCTCCAGCCTCCCCTACCTGTCTGCCCTTCCTCACCCCTGCCAGATCCCGGGAGGGCAAATGGAAGCTTCTCGCTCCTGTTTGATCCTAACTGCCCGCCCTAATTTACCCTTCTTCAGGGTCCCTCTTCCCTTCTCATCCTGCCCTAGACCGCCCCTACTCCCCACCCCACCCCAGTCCCAACTTTCCCGACCAGGAAGGACACAAAGGCTGAATGCCAGGAACAAACCACAAGGAAGCCCCGAGGTGCAGGCCAGGCGATCTGTCTCCCTCCTGCTGTCCTGTCTCCAGACCCGTAGACGGCACCTCGGGGAGGGTGTGCTGCCAGGTCACCTCCAGCCCTCAGTGCTAGCTGTGATTTTATTAAGCTGTAATACCTATTTTTGTTGTTTTCTTTTTCCGTGTGTGCGTGTGTGTATGTGTGTGTGCGCGCATGTGTGTGTGTAAATATATAAATAGCAAGTTTCATTAAAAGACTATCCCTCATGACCTGTATGTGTCATTCTTCCGTGCCCTCCTGCTCGGTGACCTCAGACTGGAAGTCATGGAATTGTTACCACGTGCTCCCTCCGGGTCTCCAGAGGCCCAAGGAGTGCGGCTCTGTCAGAAACAGTGGAAGCCCTCAAAGCGGGGCTCCCATGGAGCCTTGGAACCCCAGTTTCCCCCTCGTAAGAACCGCGTTAGCATCGTTGACCCTCCCACTTTCCATTCGACAGACGTTTCTTTGTTCACTCTGAGACACTGGCTGGGCTGCAGAAATTTAGGGGACGCAGTCCCAACCCTGAGTGGCTGGCAGTTGGGGTGAGGGGAGAAACCGGTGCAATCCGGGGTGATCACGTGCGGCATCTCCCGGGTGCTCCGGTAACGCACAGAAGGACTCCGGGCACTGGGGGTGGCATCCGGGAAGGCTGCTCAGAGGAGGGGGCATCTGGGTTGCAGGCTGTGGAGTTCAGCTGTGGAAGCACAGGGCCTTGAAGGCACGGGCCACGTTTGGGAACGGTAAGTCATTCGGGGTGCTGCAGGAGAGGGGGCTGGGGCTGGGTCACGGAGGGCCTGTGGCGGCCTGCCGAGCAGTTTGGGCCTTCTGTTGCTGGTGGGCATTTTGCAGACGGAAGCGAAGGTGGCTTTGGACTCTCCTACAAAGAGAACCTTGGCTCCGGGAATACCCTAGCGCCCTGGGTCTTCATGGAGCAAAGTTCCGGGGCGTAGCCGCACAGCTAAAGGAAGGCCGCAGCTGAGTCACTGGAAGGGAAGACCCCTCAGGAGTGGCGCTGGAGGCCAGCCCTCTCCCCTCCCCGCGGCCCTGCCGCCCACGAGACAGATGAGCCGGGAAGGACCAGCTCCGGGCCCCTTACCTTCCCGCGTCCCGCCACACCCTGCCGAGGAGGCGATTTGCTCCAGGTTTCTCTCTGGGTTCCCTCAGGGGGCACGTCTGGGGGGCCGGGATGTGGAAATGAACCCTGCTCCCCTCCCCCCGCACCCCTCCCGGCCCGCACGCGGCCGCGGCGCTGGCGGGAGGCGGGCACAGCTGCCACCGTGCTGGGCCGACTCAGCGCCTCCCTCGGCCAACAGGGCCTCCCGGCGGACAGGGCAGCGAGCTCCCTCGTCCTGCTGGCAGCTTCGGGAAGTGGCCGGGTACCAGGCGCGGTGGGGGGGGTTGCGGGGGGGGGGGGGGGCGCCGGTGCGAGCCGTGGGGCCTTCCCTACTCCTACTCCGGTCTCCTCAACACCAGCTTGTCTTCCGCCTTCCATGCGACCCCTTCCTCGCGCCACCCCCCAAATTCAAAACCAACCAACTGGGCTCTTTCCATGGCCTGTGGGGAGGCCAGGCTCTGTAGAAGGGGCACGGACCCCCGGCTGACCCCTTCAGGGGCCTCTGAGACCTCTGAGCCCTCGGGGACCTGCTGTGCCCCAGAGACCCCCTGGGGCCGGCTGGCTGGCTGAGACCCCCTGGGCCACAGACTTTAGCTTCTCAGCCCGTCTCCCCACTCCTCCTCCCCAGTCTGGGTGGGCCTTGCTCTGAGATGTGTCACTTCCCACAAGGCTCCCCCCTCCCCACTACTACCTGGGCCCCGGGGACCCAGCCTGTCCCTACCTCTTGCGGCCCCTCGCGCCTCAGCACGGAAGGCTTTCCTGTCCGCCGGTGTTTCTCCTCCAGCCTCTCTGAGCGAAGGGTCTTCTGGGCCCCACATCTGGGTCGCTGCTCCCAAAGGCACATCCTGGGAGGAGACCTTTTCATCCAGAGTCTGGTGTTCTGTACCAAGGCCTCACCCTACTCAGCAGGACTCTGTCTCCACATGGAACCATATAAGACCTTAGAAATGATATGTAGGGTCTAACTCATCTGCTAGGGGAAACCATAGCCCAGAGGAGTGAGTGGCTTGCCCAAGGTCGCAGCAAATTAGCGCTGAGCTGAGACCAGAACATGTCTCCTATCCACACTGGCTGCCACGGCAGCAATAAACGTTTATTGAGCGTGGCTGTGGGCAAGGCGCTCTGTCCTGGCATCAGAAAAGGTTATGATGAGATGCTGTGCCTTCCCTTAGGGACTTGGGATCCAGAGTCAAGATGGCAGGATGGGGCACGAGCAGGATAAATAAGCAGGCGGGGCCGCATATGCTCCACGCAAAGTCAGTGCGAGGAACAGGTTCTACCTGAGCCCAGAGGACACAAGGTTGGCTCTGGGCGGGGCCGGTTAGTGCGGAAAGAGTTCAGGATCAGGGATCGTCCCGTGTCACGAATGGCGTGTGTGGCTTTGGAAAGGGCATCCCGGCTCTGGGCCCTGGTGGCGTCCGTGTGATGTAGGGTCGGGCAGCGGGGGGTGGATTAAAAGGTGGATCAATTCGGGGCGCCTGGGTGGTGCAGTCGGTTAAGCGTCCGACTTCAGCCAGGTCACGATCTCACGGTCCGGGAGTTCGAGCCCCGCGTCAGGCTCTGGGCTGATGGCTCGGAGCCTGGAGCCTGTTTCCGATTCTGTGTCTCCCTCTCTCTCTGCCCCTCCCCCGTTCATGCTCTGTCTCTCTCTGTCCCAAAAATAAATAAACGTTGAAAAAAAAATTAAAAAAAAAAAGGTGGATCAATTCTTGAACTTTGTTTGTTTGTTTACTTATTTATTTTGAGAGGGAGAAAAAGAGTGAGAGAACACGAGTGGGGGGGGGGGAGGAGCAGAGAGAGAATCCCAAGCGGGCTCCGTGCTGTCAGCAAGAGCTCGATGTGGGGCTCGAACTCATGACCCTCGAAATCATGACCCAAGCCGAACCCAACTGACTGAGCTCCCCCCAGGAGTCCAATTCTTAAACTTTTTAAGGTAGTTTGAAAGTTTTCCTTCCAGAGAGGGAGGCCTGAGGGGCCCTTATTCCTGTAATTCAGCATCCCGTCCTGAGACAGAGCCCGGCAGGCCTCTCGGAAGTTGGGCCTGGGGAGCAGAGCCCCTTAAAGATCGGGGTCCAGATGGGCCTCAGGTCGGATTTTTATTCCTCCCTGAATCCACACGCAGAAGGGGCCCTCCCAGTCCTGCGGTGGAGACGGGCAGCCGTAGCCCAGTCCCCAAATAGGGAAAACATGGGGAGGAGCGCAGGGGCCATCTCAGGAGGCCCGAGAGATGACGCAACTGTGAGCAACTCTCCAGGCTCTGGCTCCGGAGCCGGGGCTGGGACCCTGGGGTCCCCTTCCGCCCACACCTTGACTGAGGCCTTGGCAAAAGTGCGGGGACGGACGGAAGTGGAAATGGGGATGAAAGGGGGCATCGTGAAAAGAAGAAACTAGTACAGAGAAACAGGAAGCAGGGAGGAAAGGAAGTGGCAGACAGGAGCCCAGGAGCCCGAGAGGAGCCGAGGGGGGGAAAGGCCGATGGCGGGCGTGGCCGGGAGGGAGTGGGCCCCGGGCTGCTGGTGACAGATGGGTGGACACAAAGAGGAGACAGATGGATGGGGGAGGGAGGAGGGAGGCTGGAGGGGCAGTGGTTGGAGGCCTTAATGAGATTGGAGCTGGGCTCGGGGCTGAGGAGAGGTGAGTGGAGAGGAAAGAAGAAGGGACAGGCCGCCTCAGGAGACAAAGGCGACAAGGCCTGGGGGCCAGGGTGGGAGAGGGCTCTGGAGGGGCCGCTTGGGGGGGGGGGGTTCCAGCCCCGGCTGGCAGCAGAGAGAGTGACAGATTGCGTGGCTCGCCACAGTGGAGACCCGCTGTCACCTTCTAGAGGCACAGAGAGGGAGACCCAGAAAGACGGACTGACACGCACGGTGTGGAGGCAGACAAGGGGACAGAAGAAAATCCACGAGGAGCTGCGGCCTCCCGGCCACGCCACGGCTCCTGCCCGGGCTCCCCCCCGCCCGCTTGCTCCTGCGACCCAGGACCCAGGATGAGGGCCGGTCTCCCACCGAGGATGACACCCCCACCCCGGCGGGGGCCACTCCAGGGAAAGGGTCAGGCAGCGCGGCACCGCGAGGGTTAACGCCGGCTGCTCTCCCTGCCAGCCGCCTGCCTGGTCGGGTCCCCAGGGCTCCCCGCATATGTCACCCCCTCTCCTGCCAAGCCCACTGCTTCCCAGCTCCTCCAGGCCCTCCCCCACCCTCAAGGACTAGGCCCCGGCCCCTGTGTCTTCCCTACACTCCAACCTCCCATCCGGCAGTCTACTTCCAATCTACCTCCAAGGCCAGGCCGTGTAGACCTGAAAAGACCGCAGGTGACCACCCGAGAAAGTGAACGCCTATAAAATGCTAAATAAAGACAAACCAAACCGTAGAGCCTGCTCCTCCCCCACCCCCAGGGCCTGCTCTTCCTGCCCTTGTTAGGGCAGACACACACACACACACACACACACACACACACACACACACACAGCTCCCTGGGGGTTCTCCTTCCCCCCCAGGCTGGGGCTGCTGGCAACCTGCGCTGACCTCAGAGCGCTCCCTGCTCCCTCGACCACGACCACCGGTCCCAGGGTGATAGAGGCAGAGGAGAAGCAGGAGGTCCCAGGGCACGCTCTCACCCTGCTCACCATCAAACCCCAGTTCACACCCTGCTCACCATCAAACCCCAGTTCAGTTCGTGGGGACGGCTCAGGCTGGCTATGTCAAGGATGGAATCCCAGAACTGAATTATCAGAGCCCGAACGCCTACGAGCAGGGAGGCTGGGGACAGGGACCCCCCTGCTCCCCCTCCCCCCCACCCCTGTTCCTTCCTGCCTTCCCCGCCCCCACCCCAGGGCCCTTCTCCTTCTGTTTCCCTCGATGTCTCCCCCTTTGGGATCCCAGCCTCCAGGCTGCAGTCGCCGTCCCTCGTCCCTCGTCCCTCGAGTTGTCTATCCTGTCTCCGGCCTTGTCTCCCTGTCTGCCCCAGTTTTTTGCTTCCTCACGACTGTGTGCTCTCTGCCTCCCCCAACCAAGTCTGTGTCTCCGCCCTGTCTTGGGGCCTCCCTCAGGCCTCTCCAGTACCATGCAGTACCTCCCCTGAATTCCCGTGTCTCTCCAGATCCGTGTTTCTCCCAGGCCTGGTCTCCCTCCCCAGCTCCCCTTTGCCAGTCTCCCCCACATCCCCGCCCACATATGTTGCATCTCTGAGCCTCCACAACCTGGCAACTCCTCTCTCGTCCTCTCTCACCCCTCTGTCTCCCCGTGACTGTGCCTGCCCCCCTGTCTGTTACCCACCTACAGTGTTCTCCCCCCTCGTCCGTTTCCTCTGTCTGGCTCCCCACATCTCCCCCTGTCTGCCCCTCATCTCCACCCCGCACTGGTCTCCATCTCTCCTCTCCCCAAGGCACTGTTTCCTGGGTCTCTCGGTCTCCCAATTTCTTGGACAGGGTGGAGGGCAGGAGCGTGGGGGCGGTAGAATTGCTGTTGCTGGGGGCTCATTAGGTGGAGATTGGTTTTTAATCAGCACCATGGCAATGATGATGCAAGAACTGAGATGCCACCTGGTCCCCTGCCCCCCAGCCCCCCTCCTCAAGCCTCCTTTCCCCTCCAGCTCAGCCCATCTGCTGGCGCCTGGGCACCTGTCTGGGCCTGCCCAGGTGGGAGTTGGCACCTCCCAGACCTGAGGGGGGGCGGTGGGGGAGCTTGGGGAGGGATCATAGGACTCCCCTTAGGGAGGAAAAGCCCAGAAAAGTTTGATCAGCAACAGGGAAACAGCGAATGCCTCCGACAACCCCCGCAGCTGGGGCTTGCTCCGAGGAAGGTCCAGACCCTTCCATGCAATAGCTCACTTAATCTCCATGGCAACCTAAGAAGCAGCTCTAATGAACCCCATTTTGCAGAAAGGGACCCTGGAGGCTCAAGAGGTTAGGTTACTTGTCCAAGGTCACCAGATGCCAGGACTTTCTTCACCGTAAGACACTGTCTCTGGAGCGCTCCTGGTTCATTCTGGATACTCGCGAAGGCTCAGTGACGACACCCAACAGCTGCGTGGAGTCCCAGCTCCTGCCACCCTTCAACACACACGCACACGCGCACACACACACACACACACACACACACACACACACACTCAGACACGCGTGCACGTGCACACACAGGCCGGAGGCAGCTGAGCTACTGAGGTGAACTTAATCAATGCCTGTTTGCATATAATTCTGTATCTGATTTTCTTACTGCTCATTTGCTGCCCTGGCACACTCCAAGCCTGCCGGGGCCACCCTGACTTCTCCCACATCCTTCCAACCCTCGTCCTTCCTCTTCCTTCAACCTGGCCTTTCCTCCTACGAGCCCAGAATTCCCAGCGGGTCAGCTTGGAAAAACTCCCTGTGGGCTCTGTGTCAGGAATCTGACCCCGCTCCTCCCCACCACGAGGTAGATGGGAGGTCGAGGGCTGGGTAAGAGGGCGTGGGGTGACTAAGTCCCAGGGCCACGTGGGAGCCACGGGCAGCCTGCCAAGGGGTCCTGTGGGCACCAGCTTTAGGAAGGATGAGGGCTTGTCGAGGACCAGGACTCTCAGGTCTTCTTTGAGGACCTAGGTTTCCCTGTTGGTACCTTGGATAGCCTTCTTCCCAGGGGAAAAGAAACAGGGGAAGGGGCTGTCAAAGTCACGCTGGGACTCAGAATAGGACCATGGCACTTAAACCTGGCTTGCTGGGGGCCTCTGTCCCTGCCGCCTCTGGTGTGGAAGACCGAGGGGGTTCATCTGTGATCCTGCCCTGGCTCTCGCCCCAGCCCCACCCCTTCCCCAGCTCTCCATTTCTTGCTTATGAAATATGCATGGAGAACAGA